GTTGTGTCCCTTGCAATGATTTTGATGAGTTTATTAATTTGCCGAACAATGTACTATTTAGGGGTAAAGGTTGTAAGAGTACATACAGTGCAGTGCAAATTTATAATCTCTTTAAAAATTGTAGATCTCACAAATAATTAAATAATTATTTTTAATTTATTTAATTGCTTAATATCTTACTTGATTGATATTTCATTTGTAATAGAGTCTAGTTTCATTTCGTTAACTGACTTGAAAATTTTCAGAAAAATGATGTTGCAAAATTATAACCTCATTTTAATTCTACAAAATTCCTTAATATTTTGTGTTGCAATATGAATTTATTATTAATACTTTTTTTTATTGCCGCCATTTTGAATAACTTCAAAGATTCAATCATACTTTCTGAATGTTTTCTAAGATCTGCAGCAGATATGTTCTTCCGAACATGTACAATCTATCGACATTCGAACATTGTTTTTCTTCTGCATAAACACGTCTTGCTAAGAAACCTCATACTTTTTGATGGGATTTAAATCAGGTGAGAGCGCTGGCCATTCTAATAATTGATATTTCTTGCTGGTAAAGTATGATATATTTGACTTTGCTCTATGAGTTGGAGGATTATCTTGCTGGAAAATAAAAATGATGTTTCCGAATTTTTGAATAAACCCAATCGAAGTTTTTCCAAAATAACCGAACGCACCCCAAATCGTTACCCTTCCGGCTCCTATAGCCCTTCTTTTTAAAAATATTTTCTTTTTTCTAATGTCATGATATTAGTAATTGAAGCCGCCTAGACAATCAAGATTGAATTTTTTTCATCAAACCATACAATTTTTGTCATGTGGTCCATGGAAGACGAATGCGTTTGTGCGCATCAGTTAGTGCTGGAAATGTGCATTTTTTTACATCTAAGAAGGCCTGCCTTGTTAATTGCACAATTTACCGTCATTCGTATATGTATATATATATATATATATATATATATATATATATATATATATATATATATATATATATATATATATATATATATATATATATATATATATATATATATATATATATATATATATATATATATATATATATATATATATATATATATATATATATATATATATGTATATATATATATATATGTATGTATATATATCGGTTGTTTTTTTTTCTAAAATAACCTCAAAACCGTTTGTTATTTATACATTACTAAATAGATAAAAAGTTTGAAGATTTCTTGTTTTGACAAGTTAACAAATCACGTCAAAAGCACAAGTATATATAGTTTTAAAAATCGTTATGATATTGCATTTACTTTTATTTATTTCAATATTTTTTCTCCCAAGTATTAATAGATTATGATAATATTGCTTATAGTTTTATTTATTTCAATAATTTTTCTTCCAATTATTAATACCTTATGATGATATTGCATTTAGTTTTATTTATATTAATATTTTTTCTACCAATTATTAATAGATTACATACAGAATCTATTATGATTTTTTAGCTAGCGACACATTGCTATAAAATTTTAATGTTTAAAATTCAACTATTTTCATAATTATTATGGACTCAACACTAAAAATCGAATTTTTAAAGATGTTAAATATATTAGGACAAAATAAAATAAGAAATGCTTAAAAATCACTATAATGCTAGCTAGTCGCTCGTTAGTCACTAGCTCATGAAAACATAAAACTATATGTTTCAATGTATGAATATATGACATGTATGAAAACATAAAACACAGCTAAATACAACTACTTCTTATTTATTTAGTTTTTGTTTTGTTTTGTTTTTACTTTTTATAATAAAAGTAATAATTAAACTTTTCAAATATAATAATAATAAGTACAAGTAATTTAAACTTTTCAAAATCCATTGAAAATTTGCAATTACATATATGCAAATAAAACCAAACTCTAGCATTATTCCTCCAATAATTTCTGGCGTCTTTATATATATATAGTAACAAAATTTGTTCCTCAAAATACATTGAATAATGAATGAATCAATGATCCAATCAATGAACCAATCTATTTCTGAAGTATTTGATAATATATTTCAAGGTTGTTTACAATTAGTATAAACTAATAACATTAAGTAAACACCTTATAAAAATGATTAAAATTGTAATGGTAATAATAATAAAAATAATATTTATAATAACAATAGTAATAGTTATAATAATAAAAATAACAAATAATAAAAATAAATAATAATATCAAATAACAATAATGAACAATAATATAAATGGTAACAACATGTTATTTTAAAATAGTAATAATAATAAAATAGTAATTATAAATAGTTAAATTATTAAATAAATCGGCATAATTTTCCATACAACAAGCGTTTATACATACAAAGTTACAGTTACAAACAGTAATAAACTGACAAAACGTAACAACTAACGATGACATAAAAACTGCTAAAAAATTATAAAGATTTACTAAATATATTAATCATAAAATATAAACAAAAAAATACTGAGAAAATCAAAACAAAACAAAAGTTACAACAAATATTATAAACAAGACAAAAAATAACGTTAAGTACTTTTGACAAAAAAAATTAAAAAAATCAAAGATATAATTGAAAATAAAAAATAATAATAAAGAAAAAAAAGTAAAAATAATATACCGTGAAAAAATTATATATATAAATGGCTAAAATGAAAACAAAAACAAATAACATATAGCTATATCAAAAATTTATATAACACTATTTAAAAGTAATTAATAACTAAAAAAAAAAATAATAGATGACAACAAAAAATAATAAGTAAAACCTAATATGCTAAAAAACTGAACAAAAAAAAAATCATTACTACAAGACGGATAACACCATAACTAAAAAATAAATCTTAATAAATAATCCTGAGAAATATATGAAAAAAATCTAAAGAAGTATATGAAAGAAAACTAAAGAAATATATGAAAAAAAAAAAAACTTGGTTTGCCGATCTTTTTCCGATATTTAAATATATTTCTTTTCCATTCTTATTATTTATTTCATTTATTAACTTTTTTTTAACTTCTATTTTTGATACTTTTTTATTATTTTCTTTCAGATATTACTTGTTCTTTTCTTCTTTTAAAACATTTATTTATTCTTCTTTTTAGTTTAGTTTATTTTTCGTTAAATTTATAAATTTTTTCTTTTCCCGTTTACTTTTTACCTCTTTAAAAAAGTTATTCTTGGCACGTTATCTTGTAGAAGTTTCTTAAGTAACGTTTATAATTCACCTTCTGTCTGGTCCTTATTCCCAATTAAGTTATTGTAAGTTTTAATGATGTTGTTCATATTCATAGCAAAACCATCTTCTTTTTAGTTCAAATGGACTAAACCAATGATTTCTACATCTGCGATAACCCGTCTAACATCATCCAATTCTTGGATTTCTTCTTGAGTTGTTGTCTATTTAACAGGTATCTGTACTTTTAACCAACACTTTAAGTAGTATTTAACATCATTTGCAATGGCGTCATCAGAATTTGGGATAGTGTTCATTCTAAGGAAGAATTCTTAATCATTAAGCAACTTTGAAACTTTTAATTCTTTTCTTTCCAATCTCTGTAAATTCAACTTTTCGAAGTTCACCGTCTTCACATTGGCAAATTATACAAAGTTCTTTGTTGTAGACTTGGAATTTTGAACGAAGCAACTTTCATTTACATTTTTATCATTTGACTTGAATCTTCTGATTCATCTATGTTTTTTTTTGGGTTTAGTTTCAGGATTGCTTGCAATAAATATACTGTGTTGTTCAAGCAAACGTTTTTGGTGGGTGAACTTTTTGTAAGATTCTGAATGATAAACATCTTTTTCATCTAGTTTTTTGCGTGGTATTTCTCTTAACTTTTGGTAACAATCTCTTGCCTCTGGATCTTGATAAGAGCACCTTTGCCTTAAACATACTATTAGTTTTTCCAAAACGTCACGCGAACTGGTTTTTACAATCTGAAAATAAATTTAGTAATTGCTAGGAGACACCTTTAAAAACTACTTAAAGAACATATCCAAAATGCACCAAATCATATTTTTAATTGATAATAGATGTAAAAATACGTAGATTTATATTTTCACGTAAATATATGAAATATTATCTAAATCAAATAAACAGAAATACTTTTTTTTTACGATCATCCTCCTGGGAAAATATGCATTTAGTAAGGTCAAAAAGCTTTCTTTTTTTTTTTTCATTCTTCGTCTTCCGATTCTTAATTATATTCAATATGTGAAGCAGCAATAACACAGTATAGAAACGTTTTTAAAAGCCAAAAACAAAAACAAATCATTCGAATTGATGCATTCTTATAGGTAGAATTATGTAAAAATAAAATAACATTATCAAAACATTCAAAATAATACAATCGTCAACCATGAAATATTCTATTTCATCAACGCAGATGTAATGTTGTAAAAATCCGAAGGTTAAAAAAAAATGATTTTTGTCTAAAATTTGTTGTAAATAATATAAATTTTATAATTACTAATATTTCTTAAATTATTATAAAAAACAAATTTAAAAAAAGATAAAATCCGCGTTCAAAAAAGTATTTTGAAAATTATTAAAAGGCGATTTTGCTAAAAAATATATATATAGTTGCTATGGGGACCAGTTACGTCATACCACATGTTACGCAAAATGAAAATAAAGTGACACCGGTCATTTTTCAAATCCTTATCACACAAGGATCTCATATTAACAAAAAGTTTGCTTGTAACACGTATGTGCACACGAAGATACATAGTGGCCTGCACTATTACGTTAAAGTTATTGCTAATTATTTAGCTTTGATCATTGGTTCATTAAATCATTCGATGATTAAATGATTTGATCTAGCTTTATTTCTGATGACAGATTTCTGATGACAGTCTAAACACATCGGACCAAAATATTATTAAAAAAATAAAAAGTTAAATTAAAAAAGCAACAAAAATAGTTGTACTTAGGCGTGTTTTATGTCTTTTTATTATCTTTAAAAATAAATTATCACAAAAAAAAAAACCTTCTACTGCAATCATTTTTAATCATCCAATTGAAAAACGATGTCTTTCTCTACAACATTAAAAACTTGTTACATTTAATGAGCAAATGGTAATCAGTACTATGTCCCTACTTTTACACCAGTTGCATATTTTTCTTGTCGATTAAGAATACATATACATCAAATAACGATTAGAACATAAAACCTTTCAAACTAATTTTCTTTTATTATTAGGCAGCTTACTAACTAATTTTCTAATAATATAATTTTCTTGTAAATATTTCAATCTAAATTGTTTAGATCGTCATCAGGCGTAAGATGTAATTGCAAAAATCGTTTATATATAAACCGTTACAAAATACAATGTATTAGAAATCTTAAAGATGACGTAAATAATAATCATCAAGATAATTTTTAGTTTCGTCATCTTTTCTGATAACGTAAGAAAAAATAATCTAGATAATTTTTATTAATGTCAAACTATAAATAGTAAAAACAATCTGAAAATTTAACAATGTTATACAAATGTATTTTTATATTAATAAAGTACAAAAAATATTTTTATAATAATAAGATAAATTAATGAAAAATAAATTTTCTTTTGGATTAAATATTAACTTTATAAAAAAAGATTATTTTTGACTATTTTTCGAAATAAGGAGTGGTCATAACTGGTTATGCGAGTTGATTAAAACACTTGCATTTATTATGAATGTAAAATATCTAATACTCAGTGACAAATCCAGCATTTTTTGGTGTTTAAGCTAACTTCCAAATGGAACAAACTCTAAACATTTGTATGTTTATACAAATGTTTTGAGTTTGCTCCAAGACAAAGACGATAATATATATTAACCCTATAATAGTATATAAATGCTGTAATAACCGGACTTTTATTTTTTGCAAGACCCAATAACATATTTTTAAAAAATCTATTTAAGCATAAACATACAAAATAAAATGTGTATTTAAGATAACTTTTCGATAAATGAATAAAAATTTTTTTTTTTTTTTTTTTTTTGAGCTATTGAAATTGAAGCTCATAAAAAACCGCAGAAAGTTGGATCCCCATTGCGTGGCAGCCTTTGACCCTACCAAGCGGCACTGTTTCTGATAATTGTTTATTAAACCCCTTTGGTATCCCTGAACAACGTTGAAGGATACCAGAGTAATATAAATAGTAAGAACTATTACAAATATGTAACACACTTTGATTAAAAAATTATAAGAATCATACTCTTAGATAATATTTTTAATAATTTTATAAAATTAAAAAATAACAAAATGTATTTTGATAAATTCTAAATAGTTCTCGTTTTTCATTAAAATTTTAAACATATAACTATTTACTTTTAACATTAAACGAAATATTTACGTTCAAATAGATAATAATAAAGATTAATGAAAAATTGTTTTTTTAAAAGCATTAAATGGGAAAATATTGAACCTGGTTTAATTTTACCAGGCATTAGTACCAGGTTTTACCATCGTTACTAGTACCAGGTTTTACCTTCGTTAATAGATTTCAAGTTTGCTTAAAGGTAGGTAAAAAGTTTGAGTTAAAAGGCAGGTAAAAGGTAGGAGAGGGTTAAAGATAGCGGCTCAAATTAAATCACCAAAATTAACATACAAATAAAAAAATAAGACTATATAATGTCCCCTCCCCGGTTACAAAGTTTATATAGTCAAAAATTATGACCACATAAACTTTGATATGTGTAAACGAACGTGTAAATGTTTTACAAAAGCCTAGTGATTTTTATTGTTGATAATTGGTAATGTTTTTGTTGCTGGTAACATCAATTTTTTTGTGTTTTTCAAAGTATTTTAAAGTTTATAATTGTTAACCTAGTGCGGCTTCGTTAACCTAGTGTTAACCTAGTGTGACTTCGTTAACCTAGTGTTAACCTAGTGTGACTTCGACTGGGTCTTGCGGCTTTCTATAATCTAATGAAATCGATAAAAAATTTATAATATAGTTTTTTAGTGGTAATAATTAAGTAATTCATTTACATGGAAAGTTTCCAATTTTATAAAAATATAATTTTAACAAATAGTTTTAATAAATAACTTTTTACATCAATATTTACTAAAATATTTGAATGAATAATTTACTATATGAATATCTTCTTTAAAACAAATTTTTAAACAAAAACTATTCGGTTTTCAATCACAACAATCAACCGAACAATTTTAGATTTAGCTAGTAGCACAATTGATTCTTTTGATAAAAAGCAAATTGTATAAGAAACGTTTATCTATCCAAAGCATACATATGGTTAGTTAATATAAAAAACCTCGATACAATAATCTTTGCTGGTGACGCTTGTTTTACTCATTAGCATCAATTAAAGACTTCTATAAATCTGTGAACATGACAGATGTTCATGAAATGACAAAAAATGACACTGAGAATTTAAACATAACGTTTAAATTAAACAAATTATCTTTAAATACAGAAAAATAAACTTTGTTTCACTCGTAAAAATGCCTCATAAGTTATGATGCATGCACAGAAAATAAAAAAACCGTGTTATGAATCATAACACAATTTATATGAATCGTAATATGAATCAAAACACAATTCAGAAAAAAATATTAATGATCCATTTAACGAAGTACAATTTTGTAAATATATTTACGAGACTTTGTGCTGTAGGTATTTAAAGAACCTTGAAAGTGGTTTTGAACGTTTGTACGATGTTTGCAGGGCTAGTGTTTATTTTAACATAATAATAAGCTGAAAATTTTTTTCAAATATTGAATTAGGAAATAATTTTATTCTTATCCTTTATTATTTTGTTCGTCGACTATGAATTAAATGCGATTCGGTTGGTGATAAATAAATATATACCGTTGTTACATTTAGAAACTAGCAAATATGAAAAATATATGAAAAAGTGTATTAAATTTGAGATAGAGTAACAGATATTGTTGTAGTGAATACAGGGATAACCTTTAACATTTTATTATTATAGATTTGCAAGAACACATCCTTTAAAAAGAACGTTTGGGTGCAAAGCACAAATTATCCATAGTGGTATGGTATGTGAGTGTGTCCATATTTCAATCAAAGATGCAGATATCAGTGATACTTTCCAATGTCAATGATGCAACCCTATCAATTTTTGAAAAAACGGCTATTTTAATAGCCACAAATCGTTTTAAAAGCATTAATTGACATAAAAAGTAAATTAATTAAACATAACTAGTTCAATTCTATTCTAATTACTAGACCGTGGCCCCAGGCGCCAAAATTGAGAGGGCGCAAATTCACCAAAAATTAAAAAAATAATATGTTTTTTATTTATGTTTATTTTCGGCGCTATTTTAAGTCTTTGCGCCTAGGGCAACATAATACTCCACCGCGGTACTTTGTATTAAGATCGTAAAGACTTCTTGAGGCACCTAAAATAAAAAACATATAGGCAGAGGATTAGAGAGGCCTGGGCAAGTTATAAATTCTTAGAGGACGTTTATCGCAAAATGCGACACAAGTTGGTACGAAGCCAATTAAAGTCTTCAGATTAATTGGGATCACACAAGTTTGTAACTTTTATAATAAATGCAATTAATTAGACAGACCGTCACTCATAGACAAGGCGCTTTTTGTGCATTTTAGCAAGCCAACAAGCCAAGAAATGTGCTTGCTTAAAAATAACACATTTCTTATGGAGGCCTTGGACGTTAATTTATTTTGTGTAATTAGAAATTTAGAATTATTATTTCGATGTTTAAAAAATATATTTTGAAAATGTGAGGCTCAGTATTGAAGTTGTCTTACGCTGGGAGCCCATTTTGCGTTAAATAGATTCAAGAAAGTCTATATTAGTTTTTATATAAGGAACCCAAACAGACACTGTATATTCAAGGTACAGTCTTACAAAAACTTTATTTAACCAGCCATATTTTCATCAATGAAAATGAATGCCTTCTTTAACATACCAAATATTTTAGGAAATTTTGAGACAACTGATTGTCTATGTGTGCTCCACGTGTGGTTAGATGTAAAAACAAATCCCAAATCACGCTCTTTAGTATAGCTTCTTAGGCATTTATTCATACTTTTATTATTTTGTAAAATTTTGTCATTGTATGGCCAAGCATATGTTTTTATAATATAACAAAAAGAGAAAATCACAAGTTGTTTACTTTTTGCAAGAAAAAGATAAAGCAAAAAATTATCTTCACTGAAGATAATTTGTTGTTTTATTGCCAAAAACTATAGGCTATTTAATGAAGATGTATTAACACGACTATAAAAAGAATTTTAGAAAAAAACTTTGCTAAAACTTTTTATAATCTTTCGTTTTTTGCAAATCTTAAGATTTGCTAATCTTATCACTACATAACCCTGACTAATAAAAAATGGCCGATGGAATTTTGAAATGTAAAGTAAATTGCATCTTTATAGTAATATTTCTCCTTAGGCAGTCGTCATATACGCCGTAACCTAAACCGTTCATACAACCTTTGTTTCGCTTTTATTTGTGTTATACAGTTGGGTAAACTGACCAATATCTGGCCACTTTGCATTAATTATTTAAAAAAATACATTCGCAAAAAACATTGAGTTTACGGAGAAAAAAACATTGAGTTTACGGAGAAAAAAACATTGAATTTACGGAGAAAAAACATTGAGTTTACGAAGAAAAAAGTTTACTAAATATTTAAAGTATGCCTTTGAAGCACCAGAAAGTCTTCGTATATTTTAAACTGATTATTTTAAAAATTACTATACTGAAATTTTGTTTTTTTATTTTATAACAGAACAATCCAACTCTTCATTAAATATTTTAATGCTTTTGAAAAACGGCCAGAATTAGGACGTGGCCAGAAATAGGTCAGTTTACACTGCGCCGTGTTTTATGGTGCTTTAGTGTGTCACTTCCAGATGAGAAACATTTTGATCCTATTATATGTGATTTTAATAAAACAGTTTATAAGAAAATTAAAGTTTAAATTAATATTGATTTAGAAAAAAACATAAAAGATTGGGAGTATAATTATAACTCTCGAAATCTTGTTCGCGAACGGAAAAACAGGTGGTTATCACATTATTAACTTTAGTTTAAATCACATCCGGGATGAGACGGATCAAAAAACTACATTCGGTTTTGTAACTATTTCAGAAAGTATTTATGAACGTGTAATTTGATTTTTGCCGGCACAGTTAAGCACTCGGAGCTCAACTAATGGAGAAAATACGCGTGCTGTTTTAGCAAGAGTTTATTAACGTGTTAGAAACATTT